CGTCGAGCATGGAATGTCACTATGTGGCAGCAATAAAGTGGACAGCAGAAGCGTATTCCTCGTGGTGAAGGAGATTGTGGACAATGCCATTGACGCTTGTCGTAGTCCAAAAGGTAACAGCACCTCATCACGCCGAACACCACCGTGATTTTCGCGGCATATTACGAGTTATCTCGAGGATCTCCGTCGAAGCTAGCTCGAAAGAGGAGTCTCTCCGATAATCGGCGTGCTGCATGGAGCGATTCGACGACTGTCCCCTCAGATCCGCTTAGCAGGACTAAGGTCAGCGTAGTGCTCCGAGATGATCATAAATTCATATGCTCGGACTTTGGTGGTCCAGGAATCGCTGCGCACAGTGTTGACAGTATACGTAATATGTTCTCATCAACGAAGAGTGCCGATCGTGGGAAGAGTAGTGCTGATATGGCATCGTGGTGCTCGAGCGATGTCCGTTTGTCAGGCTTCAGTGGAAGATTTGGTTTGGGGCTGAAGTTCGTCATTTTATTCTTGCATCAGGCGGGGTGTGGAGCTATACAGTATGTAATCATAGAGAACACGCTCACGATGGAAGTATGGTCGTTCATCGCTTTCAGTTTCGAGGTCGTGACGGAGGAAGCACGTCTGGTTGAATTCGATCTGCTAGTGGAGGCTGGCGACATTAGACTCGGGGAGGTTAAGGTGGAGATATCGAGTGAAGATCCAGGCTTCACTACCAGGGTAAGTGGTTTATAACATGGAGGGCACAGTGGGACTCACCAGCCTTCCCTGATCGAAGGTAACCTCATTGTTCCAGGCGGCATATCTTGTCTAGCTGACCGATGAGGTTATATACACACCGCGGTTACATAGAACCTTCCCCGACAGTTCAGCTGTGACAGTTGGTTTCATCACATATTGCTGTTCAAATTGAACAGTTCAATCCAGCGACCATCGAGATCCTGATCCGAGCACACTTCCTGTGCTCTTGTTGAGCACTCTATGTAAATTGTGTAAATTGCTGCAGCTCAACTAGACTGTGCAGGGGCTACGTGATTGGGAAGGAGCGATTCTCGGCCGACTGGGCAGTGACTTCAAGCTTGTTGAAGAATAGGGCATACCGGATATTCATCCTGTACTGACGAGGCTCGAAGAGGGGGAAATGCGAAGTATCGGTTGAGGGTCCAGGAGATGCTCTGAAAGCCTGGAACTCCAACAGCAGCCTAGACTTCTCATCCATCAGAAGAGATCCCTGAAAAGAAGGAATGTCAGTGGTAACACATCGACTGAGGTGTGTAGCATTAAAGTTCTCAATTGGGTGAGGGACCCTAAGGGTCCCTCATTCGACCCTTACTAAGGGTACATGTTTCAGAGAATTATCCTATCCGATGAGAGTAATATTGTGCTCCACACTTTCTTCGGTTTTGTCAGTCATGAAACTCGACTGAAGGTCCGAGCCTCGAACTCCGAGGAGGCTGGCATTAGTCGGCTCCAATTCAGCTATATGTACAGTATCCTGAGGATACTATCCTCCGACTATCACTCGGGATGCTGATGGGCCTCTCAGTCGTCATCACTTCGATCTTAGTCGTCACGGTCGTACAGCTCTTGCTTGTGAACAAGGTGCGGCTAGGGAACTAGGCTATGCGGGATTATATGGCTCGTTCCGCCATGTGATGTAGGTGTCAACTACATATCAATAAATACCTTGGAACATATAATAACTCATTAATCTGGCGGAAATCATGCGTTGAGGTTGATCGTTGGCTCGCCGAGCTCGCTATTGGCAATGAATTACTGCTATATACTATGCCAATAGAAGCAGGCACCTTCACTATCAGTCCCAGATACGTCCGTGGAGATCTCATTTTCCAAATGGATCGCCCCCCATGGTAACCTATATCTGGGGAGGTTAGAGGCTCTTGCTACGCTTTCGCCGGTTCAATTGAATCGAGCTCTCCCCTATGAGTTGGGTTTCGGATTTTATAGTACGCCGCACCGATAGCTACACATCCACGCTGACTTCGGAGGTGTAAGCCCTGAATTTCAGGGCCTGGGGTGCGCCGAGGGCAGAGCTTCCAAACTACTAAATTAGTAATTACTACTAATTATTAGTAATTACTAGTAATTCCAAATCACTATTATTGATAAACAAGTAATTTACTTGTGTTCCTGTGTTATCAGTGATAACTTGTCACGTTATAGGTTTCTTCGCGACTGCCTCAATCCGAGGATGTGGATTACGATATCGTGGAGAATTTGATTGAAGAGTATATCGAGCTCGCGTCTCACTTTCTTGGCAAGAAGAGTCCGGCATTCGTGTACAACGACCAACCGCTTGGAGGTGCCAACGTCTTTCGCTACGCTAATCCTAATCGATCATCGTTTTCCTCGATCCTGCAGGCATAAGTCGTTCTTCTCAGGCTCATCCTTTCTCGATCGTCGACCAGGTCAGCCGATGGCCCGCTACACTGTCAACTGCGTATCTGTAATGGTGAGAACGAGGCGAGAGCGAGATATTTCTGCTCGGGTCGATGCTGAACGGACTATTCTTGTAACGCGCCTTGTCAATGGCACTGCAATGGCAAATTTACAAGGCTGGTCTGAATGCTGTTTGCTCAAGGGCCTTCAGGAGGCTTTGCAGGGGAGATCCGGCGATGAGTTCGGTATCGTCAAGGTAGGCCCCCAGGCTCGAGCCTTCGGGATGTTGACTGCTGAAGTCGACTGTACTGTGTTCGCTGAGTGTCCGAGTGAATGGGATGTCCTCGAAGTTTTCATCAATGTGGAAAGTCATCAGTGCCAGTTCGGATCACTTTCGAAATCGGCACTGGTTGGCTTTGCGCCGTCAAACGGGAGCGATCCTCTCGCGATCTTGATATCAGCTCTACGCAGCTGTCTGCGAAGACTGAAACGAAGATGGCCAGGGATCCTTCCGAGCGTCGCTGACTGGAATGCTAAATGCGCTGCAGATATCTGGGCTCCAAGGCTTTGTGAAATAATGGGTCGAGTCTCGAAGCGGGACATAGATGTCTCGAGAGTGGAACAAGGGCTAGTCGATCTCCTTGAGCGAAGCAGACGAAAAAAAGACCTCCAGCACCACATTGATGACGATGCGTCGGCAGAGAGCTCGTCCCGCGAGGATAGTCTTCAGTGATCATTCAGTGTCACGACATGGCACATCTCAGCCGCAAGTTGTCGAAGATCTATGACTCATTTGAGTCCATCTCAATCATATTCCACAGTTTTCTGTGCGACTGGGCTCGATTACGTATTTCAGTTTTGCTCGTGTCATGCTCATTGGGTACGCAGGATAACAGGTATGAGTTTCATCTGTGGAGACAGTATTCACAACCTTGGGTTCACCCGTCCATGTCAAGGGCACTCCTACCCCCTCCGCCGCCTTCGGGAGCTCCATCGACTAGTGGTGATCATCACTATCGTCCTCATCATCACCACCATCATCAGCAACAGCAGTATAACTCTACCCAGTCTACTGCAGCCTGCAGTCCTAGCGCGACTGCGACTCTTCGGGGGAATAGCAGTCATACTGTTACGACGGATGTGGAGATCCTCGAGGATAAAAAGGGGAGGAGGAACGGAGGGGTCCCTGTATACTATGAAAAAGGAAGGTGTGCTGTCCATACCATCATCGTCCCTGAGTATTCTGCATGATGCAATCAGATTCCTCGGTAAGGGAGGCTTCGCAAAGGTATATGAATATACAGAGCAGAAGACGGGACAACGAGTGGCTATCAAAGCGGTTCAAAAAGCCAGCCTGACCAAAGAGAAGGCCAAGGCGAAGTTACAGAGCGAGATTGCGATACATCGCTCGCTGAAGCATCCGCGGTAGAACACTGGCTTTCACGACCTCAAGTAGAGGCCTACTACTACGACTATGTTGTCATCAGAATTGTGCGCTACCTCTCTCACTTTGAAGACTCTAACTGTGTCTACATCGTCATGGAGCTTTGCGCACATGCAACACTGAATGAAATTCACAAGCGGCAGAAACGGTAGTACGATGCGCTGCTTTTGTGGTATGAATGACTATGGCGGCGTAGATTCACTGAACAAGAGGCGCGGCATTACATTTGGCAACTGTGTGATGGAGTGAGATATCTCCATCAGAATAGAGTCATTCATAGAGACCTCAAACTCGGCAACCTGTTCCTCAAGGACAGTAGGTTGCAATCAGTACCCTCGACATTGAAGTAGCGGAGGCAGGTACAGACCTTAAGATCGGTGATCTTGGTCTTGCGGCTAAGTTGGATTATGATGACGATAGGAGGACTACAGTATGTGGTACTCCGAACTACATCGCGCCAGAGATACTAGAGGGAGCCCATCACAAGTAGGTCTCAGCATTGGCTCTATCATAAGCTATCGCTCGCTGGCCCCAATGATAATGTGTTACGATGTAGCGCTCCTGCCTAGCATTTTCACTATTGTATTGGTTAGAATTGCTTATAGTGGCAGTAGATACAAAGGGCACAGCTACGAGGTAGACATATGGTCTATCGGTGTTATTCTTTACACTATGTTATGCGGACGGTAAGTGCTCTTTCAGTGGCAGCATACTGCTCCTCTCTGCGCACTTCTGATTATCAAGAGTCGCCATCTATTGCGCTGTCAGGCCACCGTTCGAGGATCAGGACGTCAAGGCAACTTACAGAAGAATTCGTCATTGCCAGTATAAATTCCCCGGTATGATAACGGGAAGTCTTCACAGTAGGGTCCTCGGGCTCAGATAGTGTTTCCATTTCCAACGAGGCTAAGTGCCTTATACAGAGCATGCTGCAGATAGAGCCGAGTAAGACATCAACGGTGCGATGGTGTCGTGGTTATGGCATCAAGCCATCTTGCCAAAGGTTGTTGGTTCGAATCCTCTAGTTCGTGTTTAGCTCTGCGGCCTACACTAGATCAAATAATGAGCTCAACTTGGATGATAGGGAAGACGCCAGCCCCACAAGTCATGAGCAGCAATCCGATGCATTACATAGTGAGACTAATTATGAAGTACGTCTGTATCAGCTATGACAGACTGGCAATAGCAATGGCAACAACAACAATAAGCATCAGTATCATCACCGTACAACAGCAAGTGATACATACAGTAGTGGCAATCCCAACAGCTTACCCCAACCATCTGCCCGTACTACGCCATACTTCTACAATCCTCCCCCTGCCCCCGCATCTCT